ACTGTTTATTGTGATGCGTCGCGGATTTGTCTCAACGCGGTGTTGATGCAGGACCGTAGGGTGATTGCCTACGCGTCCAGACAACTGAAGGTGCATGGAAAGAACTATCTTGTCCACGACCTTGAGTTAGCAATTATTGTGCATGCCTTGAAGATTTGGTGACACTACTTGTAAAGTGTCCCTTGTAAGATCTACACTGATCACCGGAGTTTGCAGCATCTGTTCAAATAGAAGGATCTTAACTTGTATCAGCGGAGGTGGTTAGAGTTGCTTAAGGATTATGATATCACCATTTTATGCCATCCCGGGAAGGCCAATATGGTTGTCGATGCCTTGAGTTGTAAGGCGGAGAGTTTGGGGAGCTTAGCATATCTACCAACAGCAAAGAGGCCATTAGAATTGGATGTTCAGGCCTTACCCAACCAGTTTGTTAGACTGGATATTTCTGAGTCGAGTCGAGTTTTGGCTTGTGTGGTCTCCTAGTCTTCTCTTTATGATCTTAGCAGGGAGCGTCAATATGATGACCCCCATCTGCTTGTCCTTAAGGACACGGTTCATCACGGTGATGCTAAGTAAGTCACTATTGGAGATGATGGTGCATTGAGGATTATGGGCAGGCTATGTATGCCCAATGTAGATGGATTGCGTGAGTTGATTCTCTAGGAGGCTCATAGTTCGCGGTACTCCGTTCATTCGGGTGCTGCGAAGATGTATCAGGGCTTGAGGCACATTATTGGTGGAGGAGAATGAAGAAGGATATAGTGGAACATGTAGCTCGATGTTTAAATTGACAACACGTGAAGTATGAGCATCAGCGGCCGGGTGGGTTGCTTCAGAATTTAGAGATTCCCGAGTAGAAATGGGAGTGTATCACTTTAGATGTTGTTATTGGGCTTCCATGGACTCAGCGAATGTTTGATATAGTTTAGGTGATTGGAGACAGGCTGACCAAGTCATCTCGTTTCATTCCTATGATGACTACTTATTCCTTCGAGCAACTGGCTTGAGTTTAAATTTGCGAGATTGTCAGGCTTCATGGCGTGCCGGTATCTATCATCTCTGACCGGGGTACACATTTTACATCACAGTTCTGGAGGGCCGTACAACATGAGTTAGGTACCCGGGTTGAGTTGAGCACATTAGTTCACCCTCGAACGAACGGATAATCCGAGCGCACTATTTAGATGCTAGAGGATATGCTCGTGCATGTGTGATGGAGTTTGGACGTTCTTGGATTAGTTCTTGCCACTTGCGGAGTTTGCCTACAACAACAATTTTGGGTCGAGCATTCAGATGGCACCGTATGAAGCTGTGTATGGTAGGCGGTGTCGGTCCTCAGTTGTTTGGTTTGAGCCGGGTGAGGATAGATTACTGGGTACATACTTGGTTCAGGATGCTTTGGAGAAGGTTAAGTTGATTCAGGATATACTTCGCACAGCGCAGTCCAGACAGAAGAGATATGCGGATTGGAAGGTTCACGATGTGGCATTCATAGTTGGAGAGCGGGTCTTGCTCCGGGTTTCGCCCATGAAGGGCGTTATGAGGTTTTGAAAGAAGGGCAAGCTGAGCCCAAGGTTTATTGGCCCATTCGAGGTGTTGCGGTGAGTTGGGAGGTTCCTTATGAGCTTGCCTTGCCTCCCAGTCTAGAAGGAGTTCATCCAGTATTCCATGTTTCTATGCGCCAGAAGTATCACGGTCATCCGTCTCATGAGTTGGATTTCAGCTCGGTCCAGTTGGACAAGGATTTATCTTATGTTGAGAAGCCGATGGCTATTTTGGACAGGTAGGTACGAAAGTAATTACTTCAGTGAAGGTTCAGTATAGTGACGGTCGAGGAGGCTACTTGGGTGACCGAGCATGATATGTGCAGCCGTTATCCTCATATTTTCACCACTTCAGGTATGTCTCTATGCTCGTTCGAGGACTAACAATTATTTTTAGAGAGGGAGGATGTAACGGTCCGTTCGGTCGTTTTGAGTGTATTAGCCCTGATACCCTATTTACTGCTTTCCCCGTATCTTTTTCTGCTTATGTGACTTTCGGTGAGGTTTTGTTTTCTGTTTTAGAGTGTTTAGGGACATTTAGTCCCTAAAATGAAAGTTTAAGTCTTAGGATTTTGACTGTAGTTGGAACTGTGTGAAGACGACTCCAGAATGGAGTTTCCTCAGTTCTGTTAGCTCCGTTGGGTGATTTTGGACTTAGGAGCGTATCCGAATTGTGAATTGGAGGTCTATAGATGATTTAGGCTGGAAATAGCGAAAGTTGAAGTTTTGGAGATTTTTGCTGGAAGTGGACGTTTTGATATCGCGTTCGGATTACGATTTTGGAAGTTGGAGTAGGTCCGTAATGTTGAATATGACTTGTGTGCAAAATTTGAGGACAATCAGACGTTGTTTGATAGGTCTCGGTATCGGTCCTAGAAGTTTGAAGTTTGAAGCTTGAAGTTTCAAAGTTCATTAAGTTTGGATTGGAGGGTGATTTGTGTTTTTGTTTTTGTTTCATGTGTTTTGGGGGCTCGACTAAGTTCGTATGGTATTTTCGGACTTGTAGGTATGTTTGGTTGAGGTCCCGGGGGCCTCGGGTTGATTTCGGGCGGTTAAAGGATCATTTTGGACTTGGGAAAAATTGTAGATTTTCTGATGTCTCCAATTCTGATTTCATTCTTCGCGTTCGCAGGGGAGTCCTGCGTTTGCGAAGAGGAGCTGGAGGCAGGTGGAGAATTTTTCTTTGCGTACACGAAGTGGGGGCCGTGTTCGCGAAGGTTTGTTTATCAGTGCATCGCGAACGGGCGAAGGGCATCGCATTCGCGTAGGGGAAATAGAGCAGCTGGGACCCCAAGGTTTTGTTCTATGCGCTCGCGTAGTTGAGATCACGTTCGCAAAGCAGTAGGCAGTGGAACCTACAAGTTTGTGGGAGGTCAGTCGCATTGGCGAAGGAGAGTTCTTGGTCAGTGCTTAATTGTTCAACACGAACGCGAGGGTGTGGCCGTCTTCGCGAAGAAGGAAGTACCTCGCCAGTCTATAACATTTAAAAAATGAGGGTTTAGCCATTTTCATCAAATATTGAGATAGAGAGCTCGGATTTGGACGAGATGTTGAAGGATCTTCAGAGATATCGATTGGGTAATGATTCTACACTTGTTTTTGGTTATATCCCACTAATCTATCATTAATTCCATCCTTTAATTTCGGATTTGGGTAGAAAATTTTTTGAAAAATGGGAGAAGTTCTTCAACTATGTTTTTGAGTTTTGATTGGGATATTGACATCGGATTTGGATAATTTTGGTACGAGTGAACTCGTGAGTGAATGGGCATACATATTTTGTGACTTTTACCCAATTCTAAGACGTGGGCCTGGGTCGACATTTTGGGGAGATTTTCTATTTTCTTGCTTAAGCCTTGATTTTATTAACTACATTAGTTTCTTATAGTTATATTTATTGTATGTACTTGCTTTTGGCTAGATTTGGGCCATTCGGAGTCAGATAATCATGGAAAAGGCATTGTTACCAGTTGATTGAGCTTGATTCGTGGTAAGTGACTTGCCTAACCTTGTGTGGGGAAACCCCCCTTAGGATTTGGTACTGTTGTGATATGTGAGCGCCATGTGTGTGAGGTAACGAGTGCATACACGGGCTGTTTGTTGTAAAATTCAATTTTTACTGTAATAACCTGTTTCATCTTAATTGAGTTATACTAGCTAGCATGTGTAGTTATCCTGTTTAGCCTAGTATCGCATGTCTACGTGTCTTAAACGCTTATCTTAACTCCGTGCAGCATGTTTAGTGGTTTTTCCTGCTTTTTCCTTGAGGTGTACTTGGTCTAAACTGTAGGATTTTCTTGTTGTAACTGTTATTTCCATTGTTCTGAGTTGCGTATTTACTTTGGGACTACGGGATGATATTCCGTGAGATCCCCCTGCATATTTACTTTTGGACTACGGGACGGTTCCCGGTAGATCCCCTGCATATTTACTTTGGGACTACGGGACGGTATCCTAGGAGATCCCCCCGTATATTTACTTTGGGACTATGAGACTGTATCCCGGTAGATCCCCCTCCATATTTACTTTTGGTACAACGAGATGGTATCTCGGGAGATCCCCTGCTGTATTATTCGTGTTTACTGTACTGTTATTCTTCTGTGATTTCCTTTTTGTTAAATTTCTGTCTCTTATTTCACTTTGATATTTTTACTCTGCCTTATTTATTATATATATATCAGTAGGGCCCTGACCCGATCTCGTCACTACTCGACCGATGTTAGGCTTGGCACTTACTGAGTACCGTTGTGGTGTACTAATGCTACTCTTCTTCACATTTTTCGTGTGCAGATCCAAGTACCCCCTACCAGTCTCGCTATTAGTTGCATACCTGCTGCTGCTCCGGAGACTTTAAGGTATATTTGCCCGCATCCGCAGACCTCGGAGTCCCCCTCCATCCCTTTTATGTTGTTCCTCCTTTATTTCTTCTAGTTATTGATGTATAGAAACAGTTAGACAAATTCTTAGAAGCTTGTGACTTATGATGTTCCGGGTTTTGGGAAATCATGTGTATATTCAAGAGTTGGTTATTGTACATGCCGAGCGGCAATATGTTAGTTATATAAATATATGTGGCAGTTAGTTGTTAAGTTTATGTTTTCATTTTTATTATTCCGCAAATGTTAGGCTTACCTAGTCGTAGAGACTAGGTGTCGTCACGACATCTCACTGAGGGAGGACACTAGAACAAGTATGAGCTACAACGATATTTAGTTAGTGACCTTTATAATAAAGTCGGAAAAAAAATATATTATTGACTTTTGTTAGAAAATGTTACAAAAATACAGACATTTAATTAAAAATGACGAAAAATTGTGACATTTGATTTAAATGTCACATAATTAGTAATAAAATGACATTTAGTTAGTGACATTTATAATAGATGTCAACAAATTACTACTTTTTCTTTCTTGGTAAAAAGAAAATTATTACTTACTAATTCCAAAAAGAGAGAAAAATATTTTTTGAAAAACTTCCCCTCAAAATTTCCCTCTGAAAAAACCCTACTCCCTGCGATATCCCTCAGAAGTCATAACAATAACATTCAAGTTCATTTTTCCCTCCTCAATTTCTCTATCTCATCCAAATCCCTCCACCCCAACCGTGAACCTCAAACACCTTCAGGAAAAGCAGTATGAATTATAACCTAGAGTACTGTCTTCTTGCCTAATTCTCTCTTTCTATTTCTGTAACTGATATTGACACATTGGAAATCACCTTTTTTCTTTCTTTCTTGGTTAGATTCGAATTGTTCCCTCCTCTGTATTTTGATTTCATGGAGGAATTGAATCATGTTAAGAAGTATTCTAAGTTTATAATTTCGACGCATAATCTATGTTGTGATTTTATTGTGTGAGTGTAATGTTGTGGTTATTTAATATGGATCTGCAAAATAGAAGTTGTGGGGTGTTATTGTACAATATACTGATGTGAATATCACTTTCACAGATTATGCCCTACGAGTGTTTGACAAAATTATTGAGAGAGCATTTTAAATTATTTGACCTTCCGTATTGTTTATTCATTTTCTAATATGAACTAAATTGATGAGGTTTCCTGAATTCATATCCGATTCAATGATGTGCAGGCCACCAACAAAGGTTTCTTCTAATCTAAGGTTGCACAACTCATATGCTGCTCTATTAAGAAGGAAAGATAACAATGCTTATTGTCTGTTGTTGCCTTCCACACCTCCATTGTGAGTATCACTGCGCTTTATCTGTGAGAAATTTTAAGCTTAGTAACTTGTTCAATGAGAAGATTATGTTTCCTTCAATGTTATTGGGAATCAAGAAATCATACTTCTTCTCTGTTCTTTGTGTCCTGTATATGTGTGTGTCTGTTTGAGTTTGTATCTCGTTTTCTTTTTCCTTTTTCTCTTTCTATTTTATATTTTTTAGACTAAAAATATTCAATGCTAAAAAATATTTTTTGGTCAAGTGAATTTTGATTTTGTGTTTGATAAAATATTAAGTTAAGTTATTAGATTTCCATCTTTCTTTATAATAAGTCATTGTCCAGATTGTCTAATTATAGGGCGCTATTACTTTGATAATTGTTTCTATCCTTATGGTAATTGTGCAATCAACAGCTAAACATGTGTACATTTTACCAGGTTGAAATGTACTGACAGCTATGCTAGTTGATTAGCTGAAAAATAAGGTTGTACACATGTGATTGGCCTGTGTTCGTGCGATATGGAGTCATAGTGAGAAGGTCTAGTGCGTGGCATCTTATGGTAAGGTCCTTATAGATTTTGACAACAAACACCTTATTTCTTTCTTAAAGTTATTTTTTCTACTCATAAGGATTTTTTATTAGTTGATGGAAGATAACTCCTGGAATAGTTCAGTTGGTTGCTCTACTGCATAAAGATGATGCTACTGGTAAAAGAAGTTGCACTATAACTTCATATTTTTAAATCATTCTTGCATGTAGATTATGATATATTCTTTTAACTTTCAACTACTTGCTAATTTATAACCTATTTAACAAAAATATAGATTGTCTACCTCAAACAACCTTCTTGTCTCAATTCAAGGGAAATAGCAGAATTGGAGAGGAAGCTGCTAAAGGGAAGTGGCAGAAAGAGTGGAATTTGAGGGGAAGCTGCTAAAGGGAAGCAACGGAAAGAGTGGAAGAAAGAGTTGTGGAAGTGAAGAAGTCTCTTGTTGCTGAACTAGTTGCATTTTACATGAATCGAGACTAATAGTTTGTTCCAAGCATTATTCAATTATAAAGACGTACAATTATGCACAACTTCATTCTTGGAATTAGTTATAAAGATCTTTTATATACAAATAGTTTATTTCGCTTCACATTCTCTATGTTGAATGACATTTGTAAGTATATAAATTTGATATTTGATGGTTATGATTTCTATATTTCTAGTAAATGTCCTTTCAATAGTAAGTGCAAACGTCGATGAGTAATTTTGACATTAATAAGATGTACTGCATAAGTGTCACTAAACTAAAAAATTCCCGACACTTCTAAATGTCGTAAATAAAATAAATTAGAAACCAATATTCTTTTACCGGCATTATATGAAATGTCACAAATTATATTGTGACATTTTCATAAAAGTCAATAAATAAATGTCGTAAATCTCTTACCACCATTAGTAAAAATGTCGGAAAGTGTCTTTGTGACATTTATGTGACTTAATACGATATTTATGAAATGTCGTCGTAGCTCATATTTCTTGTAGTGGGATTTGGATCGTGACACAGCTTTATGGCCCTTTTTTTTCTGATGTCCAAAAGCCCTGACGGAGCCTCCACCAGCTCATCATATCATGGGTACTCCGGCACTCCTCGGAATAGCATATATTGTGTGAGTAAGTTGTCGAAGAAGAACCTCTTAATTTGCCGCCCAAATCTCGTGCGGGCCATCTCACCGAGTATAATCTCACCCATATTAATGGGTGGTCATCAAAAAGAATATGACACACACTTTTGCTCGAGTGCAGTCACTGCTGTGCTCCACTGGCATGAGTCTGGCTTGCATGAAATTCTGCCACACTTTGGCAATCTTGTTGAAATCAGAGCGATAAGGTGAATGTCGCCTTGCTTCATGGTCCACTTAGAATTTGAATCCATGCCACAAAGAATGTGATATATCAATATGTATTTTGGGCTTCTGACAAATTTCTGGAGCCTCCTCGGGTCAGCATTCTCAACCCTCAAATATGCACATAAAGACTCTCTCTCCATTGGCGCGTTCTTCCCCCGTACACGTGCAGTGCTCCATCATGCATCCCAATTGGCATAAAGTTCCCGAACAATGCTCAGATTTGCATGCCCGAGGCATTGTAGGAACTTGTTCATATTTAGTGTGCGTAGCCGGCCAAGTACCTCCGGGAAGTTTCTTTCTAAAGTCTTGGTATTAATTCCCATCTCGGAGATGTATCGTCCATATGGCACGAAGTCCCTGTGCCATGAAATAGCCGCATCATTGACAAAATCCAAGCGAGGCCTCGGTCTCAATGGTGCCTGCTGTAATCCTTCGGCAACCTTAGCTTGCCGCGATGATCCTTCTCCTTGCTTTCGCTTTTTGGGCGCGGGGAAAGTGGTGGAGGAATTTCCAATGCCCTTGCCTTTGATAGAACTATCATGAGCCATAATATCCTACAAGACAAATAATCATGAATGTGAGAACTCATCAAGAATTATGCCTAAGGTTGTGAATTCACACAATAGCTCAAAGGGCACTAATCAATGCTACACATATAAGTGATTGCTCATGGCTTAGTGAATTCACCTTAAGGCAAGCAAGAGGCATATGTTACTCACCTTTCCACAACTACTACACTACACTAAATTAGCTAAATTCTACAACATACATTATATAAGATAGATGGTGTATAAACGTGTTTGCATCGAAACCAAGCTCCTTAGCATGTAAAATCACCCCCACATACCCCACACTTAGCCCAAATTCATACACAAATATACTCGGTAACTCAGACTTCACCGGTATACCAAAATCTTCATTCAAACATTTGAATAAACACCTTGTGGGCATAAAGTGTAAGCATTCTAGTTTAACAATGGTGGAACATGGTGGACCTCCCAAATTTCAACAAACTAGAGGGAATTCTAGTTTACTACTCCGTATACATAATAACCAAACAATTTTCGACCAATGTGGACCACCCACCATAAAATTCATCAAGAAACTATATAGGGAACATTAAGGATTAGGGCACTCGGGAGATGGGATGTACATTATTATCTACCAATTAGAATACAAAAGAAGAAGAAAAAGAAGAACACACCTGTAGAATTTAAGATGAGAGTAATGGAAACTTGAGAAAATTTTGAGAGAGAAGAAGAAGATGTCGCGGCAGAAGCAGTAGAGAGAGAGAGAGAAGCATTTTTTTTGTTGTTTTTCTGATTTTCGAATTGGGGTGTTTTCAGTTTATTTCGGTTAAGGTTTAAATTGATTTGGGCATGGGTATGGATAATCAATGGGTTATAAGGGTAGTGTATATAGGTATATACGTTGGGTTAAGTGGGTTTGGGTTGGATAATAAACAAAAACGAAAAAAAAATTATATACTTACCTGGACACCCCCGACCCAGCGCTCAGCGCTATGCCTGGCGCTGGAGGATTTTTTTATACTGCTTTCAGCGCGCCAGGTAGCGCTAGGCGCTGGCCTGGGTGCAGTTTTCGAGATTTTTTTTTACATCATGATCCCCCGAGCCTTTTATATACCCAATTTACATGTCCCACATCATTCTACCTATAATTTCTAAGCCTACAAATAAAATACAAACTTTATTCTACTCTAACTAAAAACATTAAGAAGTTAAACTATGAAAGCAATAAAAATTGGGTTGCCTCCCAACAAGCGCCTGATTTAACGTCGCGGCACCACGCAGGGCCTCGAATACTCATCAACGAGTACAACTTTGGTCTTCTCACGATCAATAATTCCTCCCCAATAGTGCTTAACTCTATGTTCATTCACCAAAAAAATTGTTTCACCATTTAAAGCTCGCTGCTCAATTGCACCATAAGGAGTGACTCTCACCACCTTAAAAGGGCCTGACCATCTCGATTTTAAGTTTTCGGGAAATAACCTTAGCCTAGAATCGAACAATAATACGTATTGGCCTGGTTCGAAGTGACATGGCTTGATACTCTTGTCATGCCATCTTTTAGTCTTCTCTTTATAAAGCTTATCATTCTCATAATAGTGCAGCTTGAACTCATGTAATTCATTCAACTTCAAGAGTCTTTTCTCACCCGCAGCGTCAAAGTCCATATTCAACTTCTTAATGGCCCAATACGCTTTGTGTTCAAGTTTAACAGGCAAGTGACATGCCTTCCCATAAACAAGCTTATAAGGCGATGCCCCAATTGGCGTTTTATATGCAGTTCTATATGTCCACAAGGCATCATCTAGATTTGTAGCCCAATCCTTTCTATTTACTCTCACCGTCTTCTCTAAGATTTGCTTTATTTCTCTGTTCGACACCTCAGCTTGCCTACTTGTTTGAGGATGATATGCTGTAGCAACTCTATGGCGGACTCCATATTTAGCTAAAAGATTATTCAACAACCGATTGCAAAAATGAGTCCCCTCATCACTAATTAGGCAGTTCCAAACCTCGAAAATATGTTCTTTTTCACAAACACAGCTACCACCATGGCATCATTTGTTGGCAATGCAATTGCCTCCACCCATTTTGACACGTAGTCAACTGCTAGCAAAAGGTATTTGTTTCCTCTGGACGATGGGAATGGTCCCTTAAAATCTATCCCCCACACATAAAATATCTCAACTTCCAAGATGTTATTCAAAGGCATCTCATGCCTCCTTGTGATTGTTCCTGTTCTCTGACATTGGTCACACTTCTTAACAAATGCATGGGTATCTTTGAATAATGTTGGCCAAAAGATACCAGACTGTAATACCTTTACAATTGTTCTATCTCCTCCATGATGTCCCCCATAAAGTGATGCATGACAATCATACAACACTAATTCTACCTCCTATTCTGGAATGCATTTCATTATCAACTAATCAGCACATTGCTTGTACAAATATGGCTCATCCCAATGGTAGAAGTTCACATCATGTAGAAACCTTTTTCTAGCTTCAAATTCAATTTCAGGAGGAAGTAAAAAAAACCCCACTCACAAGATAATTCACATAGTCCGTGTACCATGGGGAGGGTCTTGTGTGATAGCAAAAAGTTGCTCATCAGGAAATACTTCTTTAATTTGGCCACCCTCCTCCACGTAGTCGTGATTTTCCAGCCTTGATAGATGGTCAGCTACTTGGTTCTTTGTCCCCTTTCGATCTCGTATTTCTACATCAAATTTCTGCAACAACAAAACCCAGCGCATCAATCTATCCTTAGACTCTTTTTTTTAAATAGATACCTCATTGTTGCATGATAGTTATGGACTATGACTTTCGTTCCCACCAAGTATGCCCGAAATTTCTCAAAGGCCCACACAAAAGCTAACAACTCTTTTTCAGTGGTGGTGTAATTCGGTTGTGCATCATCAAGAGTCTTACTCGCATAGTAGATAGAATAAAACACCTTGTCCTTCCTCTGGCCTAGCACTGCCTCAATAGCATGGTCACTCGCATCACACATAAGTTCAAACGGTAAGGACCAATCTAGTGCCACAATAATGGGAGCAGACACCAACTTCTTTTTGAGTTCTTAAAATGCCTTGAGGCAGGTGTCATCAAAATTGAAAGCTACATCTTTTTCAAGCAACCTGCACAAAGGAGTAGCAATTTTAGAAAAATCTTTAATAAAGCACCGATAGATTCCCGCGTGTCCAAAGAAACTCCGGACACCCTTCACAGAAATAGGTGGAGGCAATTTTTCAACCGCCTCCACCTTCGCCTTATCAACTTCAATGCCGCTCCCAGACACTATGTGGCCCAACACACTGCATTTAAGCACCATAAAATGGCACTTTTTCCAATTCAGTACCATATTTGTTTCTTCACAACGGGCCAGCACCTTGCTTAAATTCCTCAAACAATCATCATAAGAAGTCCCAAAGACTGAAAAATCGTCCATAAAAACTTCCAAAACAATTTTTGCCATATCAGTGAATATAGCCATCATGCATCTCTGGAAGGTAGATGGTGCATTACAAAGACCAAACGACATTCGTTTGAAGGCGAAAGTTCCATAAGGACAAGTAAAAGTGGTCTTCTCCTGGTCCTCTGGCATATGACAATTTGATTGTATCCTTGAATAACCATTAAGGAAGCAATAGTATTCATGCCCAGCTAATCTGTCTAACATTTGGTAAATGAATGGAAGTGGAAAGTGGTCCTTGCGGGTTGCTTTGTTCAGCCTTCTATAATCAATG